ATGCCCCCCCCCCCCCACAGACGCGGTCTGGTCGGTCTTGCCTACATTTCGATCACAGTGCATTCTGCGTGCATTTAAACTTTGCATTTACATGTGTATTTCCCTTATCCAGAAAGGACATCAATCGCATGTTAATTGCAGGTGTGAATGGGGTTTAAGAGTGCGCGTATCTCGGCCTCAGCTGCTTTGATTTTGACCATTTTTTTAAGGGGTCCAACTTAATGGAAACGCAATACTTAAATCACTGGAGTGCCCCCTCCCTCTGGTGTAAAGCCAGATGAAATTAACCAAGCCTCAAAAGTAATGAATCAAACTGAAAAGTCTGCCCTTTTCATTATTTATCTTTATTTAGCCTTTTCATGTTTGGTTGTACAGCACTTTGTAACATTGGTTTGAAAAGTGCTGTATGAATACATTTTAATAACTATGATTATAAACATTATGTGCAACTGAAAACAAATCATATTATAGCAAGTAGTGAATTACTCATCTGTTGTGTTTAATGTTTCTGAAGCATAGATGTGCAACAGTTCTGCATGTGCTTTTTAAATGCGAGGCCGAGTAAGTCGATTTGTTGTCAGATATTATTCTAATGTACAAAAAAAACCTTTGACATGGCTTTCTCATCGGAAGGCATCTTTTTTTTATCCAACCTGCTAACTCTTCCGTTTTTTACAGAAGAGAGTGGCATTCAGCCTTTTGCATTATACAACATGAAACTACTGAGAGAGATAAACAGAAATCACAGACTAACAAAAAGAGGAAAACAACAGACCAATAAAGAGTTTCCAAACAGGGATATGTAGTATATGTGCATAGGATCTGACTGCCTTACAGTCTGTACCACAGGGCCCAAAATAACAATGCCAATACAAAAAACTTGTAAACTTTGTACATTAAATGTCCTTTTTTTGTAGTCAGGTGATGAATTAATAAGCAGTGTGTTGGTTAACTCTGTATGTTAGTCAGAATCATTTATATTACAAATTTCATGGTTGATATAATTTATCTTAACCTCTTGCCTTTAAAAAGAAAATTTCTTTCAAGATAAATATCAATGATACAAAGTTATACGTTTATGTTACCAGAAATGTATAAAATAGCTTAATGTATATTTATTCTTATATGTAAAATGTATTCAAATCAAGGGTAGGCCTTCAGGCATGTTGAACTTGTGGTAAAAACTGATTCTTATATTATTAACTCTTAATGCTGCAATCCAGAAACTACAGTGCTATGGTGTGACTGCGTTCATGGGATGAGAGCTGTATAAATTCCCAGCATAGCACATTTCTGTTCTGTGGAATGATAAGACAAATTCTTAAAATATCTCACCTACGTTTGTGTAACCAAAATAGCAGTGGTGCTTTCAACAATACTGGATTGCAGTTTTAAGTAATCTTCTTTTTGAAATATGCGTTTATTTATTTGGCCTGCATTGCAATACAGTATTTTGAAATGTTATACTGCACTTCTGTTTTCGTTGTATGAGAAGCTGCAATCCATAATCTGAAAAATGTTTATAAAGACATAAAAATATAAGATATACCCATGTATTCTTGAAACTCTCTGTATTAGCTGCAGTGGTACAGTGTGCTACCTCTGAAATTGTGCCATCATCTCCCTTCTCTGTTGGAATTAAGGATCCTTATTCTGCTTCACGCCACAACCCGAGAGGATACTTTGATGTTAGATAATAAATGGCTAGAAAACAGCCATTTATTAAAGACACAGCGCTAACAAAAAGTTTCTTTCTAACCAAATGCAAAGTCAGGCTTAAGTTTTCGTTGCTTGTTCATTGGTGTTCTAGGATTTCTTATATCTAACTTTTGCCATCACAGGGCCATTTTTAAAGTTTGTCCTGTTGTATTTAAGTGCCGTTACCATTACAAATACATACATACAAATCTCTTTTTCAGTTACAGGATGAGATTGATAGTGTTCCAGGTATTCGTCAGACTCTCAGGTGGAACACAGGAAATTGCTAACATGAACTTTTGATATCTTCAATGCCAAATGCACAAAAACTATTGAAATGTAATCTTCTGAGTGACCATTAAAGCTAAACACAACTCAAAAAGCACATTAAATGAGGGGTCTGTGCTAAGGCAACTGCTGTGATTTCATTTCGGTCGGCTCCTGGCCCTCGTCTCATCCGTATAAATAGTTTCAATTTACACCTCCTCTTGTATTATCTGTTACATAAAAGGGAACAAAAATTGCGTTTAATGGTCCAAATGAAAAACGTGACAAATGCTCCCGTGTAATAAAACTTGGTGAGGAATATTATTGAAGTTACTGCTGAAGAAGTGCTTTATGTTTACAGAATCATGACATTTTAGAGGATGTATGAACCTTTGTTGACCCAAGGGGAGAATATCTGCAGCTAAAGCAGGACCTAATAAATGAAATGAGATATCTTGTATATTTTGAATAAGGGTATTTAACATCTATCAACATATTTATGTTTCTAAAAATGGATGTATAGCATTTTGGAATGAAACAAAGTATTTTTCTTGGCAGCTACTATTCTGCACAATTGATCTACTGTGTCACAAATATATAGATGGTGGGATTTATGACTTGAATTGGGCCTACTGGATGTAATACCTTAATTTACTTGACATTTCTTTTGAAATAAGCCATGCCCCATGGATAAGCCATACCCTCCAGTCCCCTGATGTTGTATGGTGGATGTTTAATGTTGGTAGTTTTATTTATAATGGTAGTTATTGTAGGTATGATTGCGCTTGTAATTATTATTATTAGTGTAAGTATACTTGATTGATATGATTTGTTTTGTTTGAACAAAGGGAATGTATTCATTTTTCAGGTGATTTTTCCGAGTGATTTAAATAAACTAATAAATCCCTATTTGAAGATCTTTTATTTTAAGTATTTAGTTTGGCTATTTAAGCAATTTTACAAATTTGACTGCAAGAATAATAAGGTTAAATTTCTTTACACTGAGATACATAAGAATTGGCTTTACATTAAAGTCTTTGAAGATGGGAACTGAAGTCTAAAGTACAATGTTCTTTGGATTGAAGATTTTTATAAATACATACTGTATTGTATAAATGTAAGAGAAACAGCCTCACAACATCCTCAGTCTGTCAGTCATTGTGGAGGAGGTGTAAGGTGCACATCTCGATTGCTGGATGTGTGAACAGTGTGTGTGTGAAAAGTGTTTATGCCAACACGTTAACCATATCAACTTTATAAAATGATAAAATGCCAGATGTTGTGTTTTCAGCTTGTTCTGCCCCCAAGTGCCCCCAAAAATAAATTAATAATTATTTATGTCAAATAAAATCTGGCAAATTTGACACATTTTGACTCCAATAGTATCGGCCCTCAATTTTGTACTAGAATAAAGGTTTTTATAGTTACCTAAAACAAAAACTAGGTGTGAAAAAACATTTTAGTTAACTGAAATTAAAATATTAACTAGACTTTAGAAAAAAACTGAAACTAAGTGAATTTATATTATACTTATTACTTATTAAACTAACTAAAATAAAATACAAATATACAGGAAATATCTTTTAGTCTGTCAATTAAGGAGGCATTGGTGCATATGTTTGTTGAGATTTGGACATCTACATGACTGCGAGTCAATTGCCTTCACAAAATGTTGTATTTTTTTGTAATATCTATTCTGAATTTATTAAATCTTGGCCCTGACATATACCCCAATATTATAATTTTAAAAAGCCTAAAAATAATACTGAAACTAATGAAAACTAAACTAAAACTAAACATTTTAAACATAAACATAAACATAACAATAAGCAACAAGCAAACCCACTCTGGAAGTTAACTGGAATTAAACTGAATTTAAAAGCAAAATAAAAAGAACCAGTGAAAAATACAAAACAACTCTTTCAGGATTTCAGTTGAATATTCACCACAGTAATCCTGAAGCCCCTGCAAACCACTCTCATCCAGCTCAAGGTGGTGCCTCGCCTCAGGCCCAATCTGTCACATGTCTGTCTACCCCAGTCTCTACTTGCTTCATATCGATAACAACAGCGATTGCCATGGTCGAACTCTCCCCAGTTTGCCGAATGCACAATCTGCTGATTTTAGCGCTGTCTCAACATGATGATTGACTTCTGCTAGCCTCTACAGCTCACAGAGATGATCCAATCTAGTCAAGATACACCATCATCATCGTCTATCCACCTGTGTCACTCATCACAACCTTTCTTAGTACGCTCGTGTCATTTGAACGGCTGAGTGGGTAGTGGGATGTCAGCTGCTCTCCATCAGAGATCTGCATGATGCCAGAGGACTGCAGACAACCACCTGCCTGACACACTGCAGAATCACTTTCACAGCTCCTTCCATTTCTTCTCAGTCAATATCACACTCCTCTGATGAGCCATGTATGCTTGTAATGTATTTATGCTTAGTCAACTGCCATAAACCTGCTTTACATGTTGGTACTGCTGTGTTTCTGTCTTGAAAATGTCAGTGCAGTATCTGTGAATTTATGGATTCTGGTTTCTTCAATTGATTCATATTCTGCTGTCTAAAATGGACATGGATAAGTAATTATGTTTCCCAATTTAAAGTCATTTTCAAATCCAGAAAAAATTATTATAAATAGCCATTCTTCAGGATGCCTTCAGTGACTAGAGAGCTTACTGACGCATTTTAAGATTAAGATGTAATTTAGATAAAGGTCAGAGTGGTTTTTAAACTGTACTAAATCTCAATACAAATATAAGAATAATCCAGTAATCCAGTGCATTGATTCATAATGGGATTTCAAAATGACAACTCTGATGGATGTTTATCCATGTTAAAGCAAGTGGGATCCATTTTTAAAGTTGATCAACAACACCATCTTGTGGTGTTCAGGCAGATTTAGCAGCAGATGAGGATTTTCCATAATACTGGTCATACAGCATTTGTCAATTATGATGTTAAAAGATACATTTTAGACTGTTTAGAGTGAAAAATTTTAGATTTGAAACATATTTTCTGTAAAAAATACACAAGGCTGCAGCAATATATAATTTTTGCATAGTAAGTCTTTAACCTGACAGTCTTGTTTCCTCTATTGCTACAAAATAAGTTGCCCCTGCCAAAACATTTATCAAAATAATATGAAAACCCTTGAGACTGAATGGTACATCTCAAGGGGTTTATTCTGATATTTGATTATATTGTTAAAACTGTGGCCAACAATTTGGGTGTAATGTTATGGTAAATTTGGTAGTAATAGATAATGTCACTTTTGTCGTGAATATAAATATATTTTTTATTCAATACTATTATACTTTGTAGTAAGACTGGGGTTGGATATTTGCTACTATACAGCACACTTTCATGCCTTATTTCTGCAAACTGTTTCACAAGAAGGAAGCTGTAAACTCCAATTAATTTCAAGCTTTTAAGCCCATTAAAAGGTCCAGTGTGTAACATGTAGGAGGACTGCATGTATCTCCAGTAGCCTAGACTGGACAACACCGGCTCTAGATAGGGCCTTTTTTGCAAGTTTTGTGACACAGCAAGATGCTACTAAATCCTACACACTGGTCCTTTAACGTTTTAGAAAATACAGTTCCATTCATAAGAATATAAAAAGCTATTGACTTGTTGTGTCCAACACAACAAGAAAGACAATATAGTCACAAAAAGTTTATGAGCTTAAATGATAACAGATTTTTTTTCAGCATGTTGACTGCAGATTATAAATATAAACTTTTTTATGGGACTGGGTTACATATAAAAACACAATAAACAGTAAAAAGTGCAAGTTAGGAACATTTTTATTTATTTATTTCTATTCAAACAAATGACAAAAATAAGTTCACACCTGGACAAGACAACCACAATCCAGACCTACAGTGCAGCAATGTTAATTGTTTCAAACTGCACCAGTACATTAGTTTTATACAATACCTTACTATTGTATAATATTTCATGATAATAATACAACAACAGTAAGAAGATGGAGAAGAAAATTAACAGGAGAGACATCAAATTTGTAGTGAATTAGCAAAAGAACTGAAGTTGAAGAAGTTGAAACTTGTATTATGCCTTCACTGAATGAGACTAAAGTCGTGCAGCCCATTCAGACAGATACAACTGTAAAATACAAGACCCACAAAAGCTTAGGTGTGTTTAAGATACAGCTTATTCACTACACATCTCAAATATATACTGTGCATCCTTAGAGGAAAAGATCACATTAAAAACTCATTACACTAAAGTATTCTGTCAAGAGTTCGATCATTGTGTTGTGGCTTTACACTACTGTTGGAAGTGCTGACAGAGGTGCATAACTCCTTGTGTCAGTTTGGCTGTACATGGTATTGAGTGGAATGGCCAGCTGCCCAGCTTGTCCCGACCCCTCCTCAGAATTAATGCCATAAGGCATCTTGGACATGATGGCCAAGCTCAACTTGAAGAGCACATTGTGGAGAGCCACACGGTATTCTTTTCTCACCAGGCAATAGATGACAGGGTTGAAGCAGCTGCTGGTGAAAGCCAAGCAGTTGGCCAGAGGGAAAAAGTATGTCTGAGCCAAGTAGAACGAGGGGCTGATATCAACGATGTCGAGTTGGACCAGGACACTCCAAAGTGTGATGACATTGTACGGGAACCAGCAGGCGCAAAACGAAAGCACCACCACCGCCACAGACTTTGAAATGTCAGCTTTTCGCAGAGAGTTGCTGCCTTTCAGTTTATGCCGACAAAGGAAGCGCATCAAAAGCAGGTAGGAGAGGGTGATGGTGGCGTAGGGCAGCAGAAATCCCAGCACCACTCGCAGGAGCTGGTTTATTCCAAGCCAGGCTGTACCATCTGGAAATCTAAGCAGGCATGCTGTGTCGTTTCCCACATGTCTCAGGTCAGCAAACACACCTCGGGGGGCTGCAGCTATGAGCGCTGCAGTCCAGATGAAAGCTGTGGCCACTGGAGAAGTGCAAGATCTACTGCACAGGGAGGCACTGGGTTTGAGAGCAGTGGCCACATAGCAGTACCGGGTCACACTCATAGCGGTCAGGAAAAAGCAGCTTGCAAAGACATTGAGCCCTGTGAGTAATGACACGGCTTTGCATGTGGCCAGGCCAAAAGGCCAGCTGTAGTCCAGGGCAATGTCTACGGCCCAAAACGGCAAGGCCAGGGAGAACAGCAAGTGAGCCAAAGCTAAGTTGAACACAAAGAAATTGATGGTGCCTGTGGTGATGGTGTGAGTGGAATACAGCAGGAACATCACCAACAAGTTCCCCAACACTCCAGCTGTAGCCACAACAAAGTACACCACAGAGATGAGTATTCTCAGCCAGGGGGATCCGTCATCGAGAATCTCCAGCCCGCTGTCTATACTCGTGTTGTGAAAGATCAGGTGGGAGTTATAACAGGGTGAGCCTACACTGCAGTTCAGGATATTGCTGAAGAACTCAAGTCTCTTTGAGTCAGTGTCTGACATGTTGCTACCCTGTACAATCCTGTTAAGGGTTAAGGTTGTCCAGCTATTATTTGACATGTTTCCGCCTATCCTCCTTGTGCCAATAATAAACTAAAAATGTAAGTTCTGGTTGTCTGTTTATTAGCTGACAGTCATCTATCCCTGCAAGGAAAGAGGAAATGATTATTACATAATAGGCGCTGCAGTTAATAAGTACATTATCCCTGTCAGATAAACAAATTACACTAAAGTGTTACCCACACATAATCCAATTTAGATCTTAGAGAATCAAACTTCTCTGGGGGAAATATGAATACAAAGATGAAGTGATAAAACTAATTTCACTCGTTAAAGTGGAAAATCCTGTCAGAAGTTTTCCAGGGTCATTTTTTTATCCATTATAATCTATAAGTTCATTGCATAGAAAAAGAAAAATGTTTGATTTGTTATACTTTTGAAAAGTTGAGTAAACAACCATGTCATTCCTCGTTTATTTATTCCTCACATAAACTTTAGAAAATTTGAGTTTTAGATCCAATAGGAAATAATAATCTTTTTTGTTACATGATTGGCATTTGGGGAAAAAGGAATATGCATTGTAATATATGGTTTTTTTTTTTTTGTTCACTCCTTGCTCGATAAATGGTCCATTTTTACAAGAAATTATCAGATAATTTATGTAATTTCTCCTCAGATCTTGGGAGTCACGAGGAAGTCTTTCAGAGTCATTTTAAGCACCTTTGGCAAATTGTAAATCGATATTTAAACTGTTTAAATTGATATTTAACTGTACATTTAACATCCTCAAACTTGCAGCAAAATACTAGTGAAGGTTACAGAGTATATATTAGGTTTAAAATGTGTTTATTCAACAGTGATGAAAGAATTATTTGGTTCATTCTTCCATTATTTTCTTAATTATGCATGCAATTACATTTCTTAATCCAAACTGGGTATAAATCAGAATCTGATCTGAGGCTGTTGACTCCAAATAAAACTATAACATTTTCAAGCACAATGGGCCAGATGCTGTATTTCAGAGGTATTTCTTCGCTTCAGAGCTAAAAAAAAAAAGTTTCCATTTATTTCTAACCTTGAGAATGATACACTGTAATCAGACAAATCTAAACTTTTTAACTTTTACTCTAAAGTTACAGACAGCTCCAAAAGATATGAATGTGCGACTTTAAGCTCTTTTATTGGGCTGGTGATTCAATTTTAATACTTTAAATGTTCTATACATACATTCACAGGAATATGTGGAAGAAAATCTCACCTGAATCTCACAGGAGGAGGTAAATTTCCAGCTTTCAACAGTTAGTCTTCTCGTAGCCACCAGCTCTGCTGCACAACATAGAATTACTTCGAAGGCGGACAACAACAACAATGTAGATGTCACCCACCCTGAATTTATGCTCCACCCCATCATATTTTTCATTCTGACTAGAAATCACCAGTAATGACACTACTCAAACACATAAAATAAAAGTGATTACAATGGAAACAACAACTAACCCCATTAAAGCGGCAAATACCCAAAAGAGAAATACCCACTGTTGGTCCAATTTAGCGGGAAAGATAACATTTTTAGTGAAGATACAAATTCACTTTGCATCCTAAGCCTTGAACCCTGAACCCCAAGATATCTTTTTTCTTCTTTTTCTTAGATTCTCCTTCATGTCTTCCAATTTTAACCTAATTTGATTGATAATCTAATCCGACCGAATTGTAATTATTCTAAAGTTTTCCTTTCACTGCTAAACATTAGCTGACACACTTAAAAGTACACATCTACTCAAAACAGGATAGGCTGATATTCTCCAAAAATTAGGACTTCTATTACTTAATCAGCATGATTGTGTATTTTGATGCAGATCTTGAATCAGAGGCAGGCTTAAAAAACACTTTATTACAGTTATATTAGGAGCAAATATTTTGGTCTGTGATATTAGCCATTTGGAAATTGTGTTGAAAAAGTGCTGCATGTATGAATTAAATAGTAAAAAATTAGCCATTTTGGGCATTTGTCTAGTCTGTTTTTGTTTTTACTTCTGTTGTCTTTTTTTTTTTTTAACATATTTCAACTGAAAAATCACATTTTTTCTTGTTCAACCAACCCTGTTTATATTTATATAAATATTTATAAGATTGCTCAAAAACTCATTGACCAGTTCAGGATCTGGTAAACAAATGTCATTACTACATTTACACTTCTCTTACTTACTATTCTTTCCCTCTGCGTTAATTAAATAAGACACATAACACTATTCTTTCTGCAGAGTAAACAGTTGAAGGGTTAAAAAGCCTCTCTGAAGGTTCACACAGAGGCTGCAAGTAACATGCTTCAAATATTAATGGTGGTGTTAAAGGCACTTGGACCTTACAGGTGAAAAAATGACAAGACTGTGACAGAAAATATAATTGTAGCAAAGCCAATTTGTTTTTGTTTTTTTCTATTTATATCTAGGGGCATTGCTTCAAGATTAGATTGAGCCGCAGAGATGACTCTTCATTATAAATCGTTGATAGTGGAAAGAACATCAGCAGTGAATGACTAAATGAGATTAGCTTGGAATAGGCGGAAGAGTGGGGAAGTTGATTAATGCTGGTCTGTCTAAACTGAGCCATCTTCATAAACTAGCTGAACAAAACATGCAGTGTTCCCTGAGTGTTTTCATGGCCAGCAATGTCGTACAAAAACAACATGCTTTACTTTAACCATGCTATAATAAGGCAGTATGCTGATCACTGTCTGAAACTTTTAGTTTTTCTACATTTTATTTATGAACAGATGTTTTGATCAATAAGGAAAAGTCTACAAAAACATATCTACAAACTGGCCTAGGCTATTAATTAGATGGTTAATTAGCTGCAGATCTGTTTTTTTTTTAGCTTTTTAATATTAACATTTTAGATCTGCGGCATCATTCACTTTATTATTTGTGCAACTGTAATTAGATGCACAAACATGAACTGGATATTCTTTTTGAACCTGCACATATTTCAAGCACTACAGAGCAACCACCCAACATATTGAGAAATTAGCTTATTTGCTTTCTTGCAGAGTTTGATGAATAGACTGATACTAATCTCATATCTGCTGATAAATATAAAGCTACAGCCAGTAGGTGGTTAGCTTAGCTTAGCATAAAGACCGGAAACTCTGTCCAAATTTCAAAGATATGTCTACCGGCACCCTTAAAGCTCACTAATTAACATGTCGTATTTAGGCTATATAGGCTGATGGTTATGTCATAAGTTTAGCAGGTATAAACCAAAATACTGGACAAATTGATAATGATGGAGCTAGCTAGAGAGAACGGTAAGGGTTCACCAAAGTTATTACACTTCATCCTGCGAGGGGACTGTACAAAATGTCCTCTTATTACATTCGATAGTGGACTAAAGTGGTGGACCAACATTGCCATCCCTAAAGTCATTCCACTACCATGGCTACACTCACCCCTCTAATAAAGACTCTTCAGTGAATTTAAAATTTAAAATCAATTTTCCATGAAGACAAAACATTGTCATTGAACAAGTCTGGGAATAACTGTTTTCATCCACCACAATGTTTTTCTACAAAACCCACACAAAAGATTATTTCCCCTGCGTGATGTCTGCATTGTTGTTGTTGTTGTTACACCTAAAGGTAGGCTACTGCATAAGTATCTAAATTATTTCAATTAATTTTACTGTAAGGTAATACAGCAATAACATTATAATGCTTTGGGAAACACTAATTACTTCCTTGAACTACATGAGCTAATGAATACCCCGCAAAGAAAACATTGCTGTCCCACAAGAGATGATTCAATTTTGCTTCAAATTTTGCGTAATACTGAGTGGGGGGTGTTCTTTACAATGTCTTATAGATGCTATAAATGCTTTATTAATACTTAAATTCAGCTGTAAATAACTTTATAGGTGCTGGGTCAAATGTAAAGTTTACAATCTTTATATCCAGATGGTTAAACTTGTATTTTAGACTCTTATCTGGTAAGTTGATTTGAAATGTTAAATAAATGTACAGTCAGATTGACTTATGCAAAACACAGGTGTATCTTTTTGGTGCCTGCTTAAAAAAGATTATTCCATACATGGATTCCCTACACCACCATGGTGTTTTCACTGTCATTCACTGAGTTGTGCAACAGGGACTGGGGCGTTCTGTGAGGAGAGTGAACAATAGCAGTGTGGCTTTGTCGCCACCCATTGTTAAAACTGAATACAACATTTCACTGTGTCAAGAAAAGGAGGAGGCCTGGAAATAGCTCCCTCCAGCATTAGTTCCCTTGCTTTCTCTTAAAGTGAGCCCTCTGGTGACAAATGTTTGACCCAACAACAAGCAGCATGAGACCATTTGCTCTACGATGGAGGTGACAGGAATATATCATACATGAAAAAGGACAAAAACAAAGCCTTCCTTTGTAAAATAAGATTATGAACACATGTAAAACATATCTAATAACAGCAACAGGATCCTGACCTGTTGTGCAACGGACTGCCAATAAAGACTTTGTTTGCTGCAACTGTACATTTTGTTGGCTGTGATCATTGCATTTGTTTATACTGCTCATTAAAAGATCTCTTCCTAATGCCTTCCGCCTAAGTTACTCATATGAAATGGATATCTAATATTTAGTGTTTCCCTGTTGAGCTACACTGAATTGTTGTAGTAAAAAGAACTCACACTCAACAAGGGGCCCCATAAAGGAGCCCATAACATCACACTCTCTTTTTTTAATCCACAAATTTAGTTGACTGTTTTTACTGATTTACACTTACTACTGTATTATAAAGCAAGATTTGATATCATGCAGTGGGTGCTTCTGCTGTTTTTTCCCCCTATTCTGGTGGCATTGTGGTATTTCCTTTACCCCTTGACCTTTGCTTTGCTTTGCTGTATTGGTGGACTTTGGTGGTAATTAAGTCTTTTAAATGAATGTTTAAAACACCAATTGAAAATATTATAGTTATACAAGTTGCAGGATATATTTGAAGTAGATTTTTGTGAATCTTTTTGTGGGTCCTTCCAATATTTTCAGAGTCGTTTTTCAAGTATTAAACAGATGGCTGGATCTTAAAGTGGACTCACTTAGTTAACTAACTTAGTTTGTTGTTTGGAATTAACCAAATAATTCATAAAATAGTTGAAACAGCAGGCATGTTGGCAATTTAAAAAAAAAGGTATTTTTGTGTGCATTTCACCGTTTGTGACAGTGAACAGAGAAACTAGTTACTAGTTTAGGGTAGTGGATTTGTGACCAGCAATAATTCTAATTTATTCTTACTGTATTCAGCATGTTGACAGTGAGGGTGATATATGTGTTATTAGTTTTACAGAGTGAAGTTTATTGATCATATGAGATCGTGCATGGCCTCTTGTTTCTAAACTGCTAGTAAAGGCCGGTCACATTGGGCTGGGTGTGGTGATCCTGATGTGGGTGTTTTATGAATATTTTGTCCACTCTTTTCACTTGTGTTGCTGCAGACTCTAAACAGTACACACAGACTGTCAGTCCCCATAATATAATACTGATATTTAGCAGTGGACTGTCTGCGGGGGAAGGGCCAAACAAACCAAAACAAAATAAAAAACATTGGCTTGTTGAGGTTGCAAAGCATTTTCCCCTTTCCTTTAATAATAGTTTGTATAGGTCAACTGTTCTGGGTTTCTCAATGGCCGATGCTGATCTTTAGAGAGCAGGGCGACAGACGACCGATATATAATGCTGATATCAAAACAAAGTCATGTATAATACCATTATTCCATGCACATAATCTAATATAGATGGTTTTCTTAGTAAGATTGTTGTTTTAGATGGAATTTTGCATCTGCAGACATTTGTTTATCTGCCTATTGTTTATGTTAAAAGGCCAGATCATCAGCTAGCCGATTAAAGCTGCAGTAGGTAATTTATTTGGTACTTTTTTACTATATCCTGACTGTGAAAAAATCTGGCTCCTCTGGCTCCTTCTAGTGC